TTGTGTCAGAAAGAAGGACGGTGGAAGCAAATAAGCCATATAAATGGGACAGGTTTCAAAGAGTCAATAACAGTTGGGCTACAGCAGCTCCCCAGGTAACCCTTGTAGCCTTCTCTTTATATGAATTGAATTAATGATTCTATATTAACCTACAACAAGCTCAGCTCCTGTTGCTACAGTTTCCAAATCAATAGGGTGAAAGTTACCCTTTACAATCCTCTTAGGAGCACATTAAGAATGAATACAGAGTCCATGAATACAGTTACACAAGTAAACAGTGATTATTATATCGTAAGTTATACAGGCCATCCTCACTATAAGTTCAAGATACATTCCAAAAAACTTGGACTTATAGCGAAACAACTTAAAGTGAAATAGTTATAGCGAAACAACTTAAAGTGGAGAATTCCGCCGTGGCGCTCTGCTGACTTCTGCGCAGCCGCCATGTGGGAGCAAGTGGTGCAAGCGACCTTTTGGGCTCCACGCCCCTCAAGTAGCATGGGGAGTGCAGCACCCAAATGGCCATTTGGGCTCCGCGGTCCCCCGAGTGAGAGGCAGGAGGGGGAGGAGAAGAGAAAGAGAGAGACAGAGAGAGAGGCAGGAGGCGGAGGAGAGCTGAGAGAGAGAGAAGGGGAGGCAGTAGGAGGAGGAGAGAGAGAGAGAGGGAGCAAGAGACCGGAGGCTCAGGAGAGAAGACCGACGTGGAGGAGAGACCTGAAAATCCCCATCTTATGACGGGCTAATTGGCTAGTCATATATATAGTACCCCAGTGTGTTTGAGTCTGTAATGCCGAAATGCTGGCTGTTCTCTTTGGTGGGGCGCTGTTCGGCCGCTTGCACCACTTGCTCCCCCACGGTGGCCTGGCTAAGCAGTGCAGAAGTCAGCCGAGCGCAACGGCAGGAGGTGAAGGGGGGCAGGGCAGTGACGTGCAGTGTGACAGCAGCTCCAGGTCCTGCACCCTGGCCATGAACGTCACTGCCCCCCTTCGCCTTCCGTCGTAGCGCTCGGCTGATTTCTGCACTGCTCAGCCTGGCTGCCGCGGGGGAGCAAGCGGCACAAGCGACCGTTTGGGCTCCGCACCCCCTCATAGAGCACGGGGAGTGAGTAGCCCAAATGGTAATTTGGGCTCCGCAGTCCCCCAAGTGAGAGGCAGGAGGAGAAGAGAAAGAGAGAGACAGAAAGAGAGGCAGGAGGTGGAGGAGAGCTGAGGGGGGGAGGGAGGCAGAAGGAGGAGGAGAGAGAGAGAGAGAGAGAGAGACAGAGCACGAGACCAGAGGCTCAGGAGACAAGACCGACGTGGAGGAGAGACCTGAAAATCCCGTCTTATGACGGGCTAATTGGCTAGTTGACTTATAAGAGCCAGAATTCTACCACACAGAAAAGATCTGGCCTTAATGCCCCTCCCCAAACAAATTCTAAAATTTAATGGAAATCACTTATCTGGAATCCAACTCTAATTGAAAGGTCAAACAAATAAACAGGTTTCATGGTATGCCCAGAATCCAACTCAAATTAAAAGGCCAAACAAATAAAACAGGATCCATGGTAAAGTTCTTCCAGTTTTAACAATTTATCCTTTGCTAGTGACACAGGATTTAAAAAAAAATTATTCAGATCAGAGTTTGCAGATCTGTACAACACTAAAAATAAAATTTAAAAAATCCTCTGTTAAGGTAAGAAAGGAAAGGATTCTTTTAAGCTATTAACACTTATGTAAACTTTCTTTGAAATGTAATTATGCAAATGTCATAAGCTAGGCCTGTCCATATAATCCTTATCTATAAAAGCAACCTAACTGCTTTACAATAGAAAAACACCAATACAAGTGAAGTCAGATCCTGCATTAAGATCTGCTAATGTAGAATCTCTCTGCCATCTTTATTTGTCTGCTGTGGATCTGTCTCTCTCCAAACAAACTAATTTTTAGTTCAGGCTAACATCTCCAGGCATATGTCCAACTGTGAAAGGTCTCATACCATCCAACTACAATGAGACCACACAACGCAAATGACCGAGAAAGCAATTTTTGATGAAGTTTGTATGGATAATACTGTCTCAGATTTGAGTGCCAGGGACAAATTTCACACACAGTGCTTCTACCCTATCATGGATAAACTTATTGTTGAGATGGTCAGTCAATGAGCAGCATATGCCACACTGAATGAAAGGTTCCATTTTCTTATGGACAGATCAATTTCCAGTGCTGAAGTCGCCTCTAAAGCAAGGGCATTAGTAGATATCTATCCATCAGATCTTGAACATGCATTTCTATTGTTCTCACATATGTATACAGAGAAGAAATCTATGTCAGCAATGATCACAGTGCACAAGCAGCAAACAAGTTGGTGACAAGTTTCCAACTGTCAACATTGCTTTCAGAATGTATCTCACCATCTTGGGAACAAACTGTGAAGGGGAGAGCTCTTTTCCAAAATAAAGAACTGTCTTCGGTCTGCCATAGGACAGACACGACTATCTTCCCATGCACTACTTTCAACTGAGAGTGAGCTTTTTAGAAAAATGACATTTGATGATGTAATCTGTGATTTTCCTAACAAAAAGAGTTGCAAAGTAAATATTTTGTTATACCTGAATGTTGTTCGTTGACTAAAGATTTAATATACCTACATTTAATTGATCTCCAACATTTGCATATGTATTCTAATAAAAAATAGCAGATTATGAAGTATGATTGGCAGTTTTCTTTTATTATTTTTGAGTCAATTATAAATTTTTTCTAGGGCCTAAATTTTTCATAGGCCTTAGGCACTGTGCCTATTGTGCCTAATGGATAATCTGGCCCCGGAGTTACTCCAAATTTAACTGGTGTAATTCAGAGCAGAATGTGTCTCAGTGGCCACAGCTGGGATGGATGATTTCAGATTGGCCTGTGCTTGGGTTGATGTAATCAGGGATCCATATCCATAAAGACCTAAAGAAGGTTGTGACCACAGTTGTCCCTGATAAACTCCATGGAAGCTAGTGGAGGAAATTAACCTGTTGATTCCAAATCTGTGATCCTTGAATGTGTCCAACTGGATGAAAAGTTTCACTTTACGGTATAGGGCATATCCCTGCTTATAAGCATGCTACCCACCTTTGTGATGTCCTAACTTATGCACACCCGGTATAAGAGGCTTTCTGCTCTGTCAGAGTGCCTTGGAGACATCTCCCACACTGTACCTGCCTGGCCATTGCATGACCATCCAGTCTGCTTCACAACTAAGATGCTATTACTAGGCAACCTCAATGAAGGAAGGAAGGTCCAGTGGTTAGGGTCTAGGACTTTCCACTACTCTGCCACAGACTTCCTGTGTGACCTTAAGTGAGTTTCTTAGCCTCTCTGAGCCTTGTTTCCCCATTTGTAACTTGGGGATAAATAGCTCTCCCGTCTCACAGATTGTGAGATGCTCACATACTACAGTGGTGGGTACACAGAGGTACCTAAGAGATAGACAATCTCTTCTTTGGAGTGACCCATTCAGTCCATCATCATGCCAGCAACATCTTCTGAAATCACAAGTGGCAAAGCCATTCTGACTCTATCCTCTGTCCTGCTGATCAGCCATGTGCTGGGGTCTGAGTGTTCTCAACTCACATTGACTTCAGTTGAAGTGAAAGGTACCTACCCTCGAATGAGGAACTGCAAAGGCTGGGATTTCCCCGAGATGGATGTCCCCAATCCATACCCCAAGTCCCATTGTTTCTCTCTTTTGGAAAAGCACCTGATGTGAACGAAGTGTAATTATTAGGAATCAGGAAAACAATCCACAACCTGCAGATTTAAGAGACTTAAGACAACCACATGATTTAATACTTTGCAACCCACAGCAGGACCTTTCCTTCTATCCCTCTTCTCCTCCATCCAACATCATTGTTGTACCATCCATGCCACTGGCACTGGTCCTGTCAACAGTCCTAGATTTTAGGAGACATCTTATGAGTCAGGGAAATCCCATAACCTTGAATATCAGCAGATACAGTGCATTGCACCTCCCAGGATCACACTCCTAGTCACTGGCTGAACACAGTTCACAGTACCACTAACCCAGTGCCTTTTGACTCTGGTGCTCATATAGAATATGGAGGGGCAAAGCTACGCCACCCTTGTCTTCTCTTCTCATTCTCGCATACACTATCCATCCAGTCGGGCTGAGATTCCCATAACCATGACCGCACAAGCCCTCCCTGCAGATGGGTCAGGCATTGTGTTAGCAGTCTGAGGGCCTGTGGGTTTTTCTCTCTGGAGTGCTTCCCCTTTAAGACAGGACTGTGAAGTCTTTATTTGCTTGTTGAAACTGTTCAGTTTTAGGACAGGGGGGGAGGTCACACCTGTTGTGGAACTTGATAGAAGGCTTATTTATAAACTTTCAGAGCTTGGGATTCTTGCAGAGCTGAATGTGCTGATGTCCGGAGGGGAAGGTCACCGAAATGCTTGTTTATAAAAGCAGCAGCAACTGGAAAAACCATAAAAGTCTGAAATGATGAAATTAACAAGCTATTTGATCAGGCGCATCGGGCTATGTGCTCAGTAGCCAGCCAGAAAAACCTAGCACGTAAGATCTACTCTGCTGGCTGCTGCCCGGCAATTCTCCCTAGGAGAAACAAGCACATTACACCCTAAGAGGCGAAAAATAATCATCTGCTTTATATAGCTCACTTTTGGGTCTCTGGCTTGTCCAATCTTAATTTGACCTTGCATGGAAAAGGGAAAGCCAATACAGTGCTTGGTATCATAGCTAATCCACTCTTTAGTTTCACAACTTCAAAGGGACATGCCACTCATTCCCACCCAGAATGATCTTTTAGCAGGAATAAATCCATTCCCCAAATCTATCGTCATTTTTTTGCTTTAGCAACCTGTTTCCCCAGAAACACTCCTGGACTTTTGCAAAAGTGTCTGTTGATGATTTTTATTGTATTTTATTTTTATTTTTTTGCAAAGGTTTGGATTTTTTGTGAAAAGTGCACATATATTTTTTGGAGGGGAGTGGGGAAATAAAGCTATTTCCCTGGGGCTTCAGGAAAGCTCCACCCAGTCCTAATTCTCATTTTACTCTAGAGAAAACACGAGGACTTTTCTTCTTTCTTCTTCTTTTTCTTTTTCAAGGCTGTCTTTTTGTTTCTTTTTTTTTTTAAGTTTTCTGTATCTGTCAGAATCTTGATTTCAGGAAAGCTTCATTTTCACTTCGTGACTGATGGCTGAACAGGTGGCTTCTGAATTTACAAGTGTCATATGAACAAGCCGTTTAGAAATGGACAATTTGCAGCTCACTTTCTCCTGCTGACAGCCCTTTTTTCTGCTGACAGATTCTTGCCTCTTCCAGCCAAATAAATTCATGGAGAATCTGCCCACGCCCCTTGTGTTGCCGCCCCCCGCTCCCCCAGCCAACAAAACATCATTAGGAGGGGGAAAAAGAACAGAGCCCATCTCTTGAGAGCTGCTAGCCATGAAATGGAACAAACTTTACTGTTCAAGGCTTCTTTGCTCGCTCGGCCTCGGTGAGTATAATTTATAACAGGGGCAGGATTTCTCCTTAATCTTTTGTGGGGAGTTTATTTTTCTCCTGGGACTTAGATGTGGTTCATTGGTGGAGTGCTGCTATACCATGGCTTATGTCTCAGAACCAGGGCGCTTATTTCACTGAACGTATTGGGCTTGTTCAAAGATCAGGTCCACCAAAGCCCCCCAACTCCTTTATTTTTGTTTGGCCAGCGCTTTCCAGGATCCTTCTTAGGAACATTTCCAGCCAGGGACTGCTGCTGCTGAGTCCAAAGCCACCTCTGGCTATAATGTCCCTTGATGATTGCAGCAGATGGGGCTGTATATTTTTTGAGGCCAGTATAAAACACAGGGCTCCCCAACCTCATCCTGCCCCTGCCACTCTCCATTCACTCAAGCAGAAATCCAGGGTGCTCAGATGTTGGCAAGAAGGGCTGCTCCAGTCAACAGTGCCTGACACTGAATTGGCTCCCACATCGGCATGCTAAGGCAGGGCACTGGTTTACTGCCAAGGATGAGGGTATGTTGGTGATGCTTAAAGATTTCAAGAGACACATGCGCAGCTCAAGAACTGCAGAAACCCACTACAGCTGCTTTCTTGTCCCAGCCAATGAGAGATTCTAATACTAATGCCATGCACTTACATCATCTAGGGATCTGCCAATACTTTACCACACTAATGAAGCATCAGGATTCTCCTTGTAAAGGAAATTGAGTGCTCAGATATCAGGGGTTACTTATGAGAGAGAGAGAGAGAGATTTGTACGTTGAGTTACTAAGATCTGGACTTGCCTAGGGAGTCCTGACTGCTAAAGCCCTGCTCCGTTTCTCGCTCCATCAGGAGACTGATCACTGAGAAGGGATCAGCCGTTACATGGCAAAATGAGGTTATCTGAGGTATCTGCCGCACAGGAGGCATTTTCAAAATACCCTAACTGACTGGTCAATGGGGTTCATGTCAATAGGCCTCATGCTTCAGAGTGCCAGTGCTGTCTCCACCCATTTCAGCTGGAGATTGTACTTCCAGCTTGTTGCTATTTCTCCACTTAGTTTTAAGAAAATGGGAGATCTCATTCTTCAGATGTTGGCAAGGGATACAATTTCCAAAACCACCTCAAATGCCTAAGTCCCATTTTCAAAAGGGATTTAGCTACTTGGAGCTCAATTTTCAAAGACAGGTGCCTAAGGCTGCAGATAAGATTTTCAAAAGTTCATTGTCCCACTAAAATCAATGGGACTTAGGTAGCAAACCCATTTAGGCACTTCTAAAAATACCACAAGGCACCTATCTGTACCTACATGTACTCACATACCTTTGGAAACTTGCTCCCTAGGCGCTTTTGAAAATGTTACCTTTGACAGCCTGAGTGCTGCTAACTTTTAAATTTAGGCTTCAAAGTGCCTGAGTCGCTTTTAAAAATGGAGCTCAGGATCCTAAATCATGCTGGTATTTTTGAAACCCTTACCACATCTTTATAGGGACTGGATGGGGTTAGATGAATAGAGTTGGTGGGTGGATTGGAAGCATTTATCTAATCTAATCTATCTAGTCCTCACCCTCCTAGTACCTGAGTGCTTGTGTATATGGATAAAGGTGGATTGATGAGTGCATGGCTGGATGCATGAGTACATAATATGGCAGATTGGATGGGATGGGGAGGGACAAGGGTTGGGTGGAAGTGATGGGTGATTACATGGATAAATAACATCATCTTACTGAACATTTATATAGTGCTTTCCATCCAGAGATAGCCTTAAGTGCTTTACAAACCATTATAAATACAAAAATCACTTCAGCCAGCCACAGCAGCTATTTAAAAGTGCACAATGACACTACACAGCCATTTAGGACAGGAAGTGGAGAACTCCATACCCAGCTGAAACTGCAAGGGACTTTCTGATCAGCAGAACATCACCCATTTGGAAGTCGGTCCACACCAGTGTTCCCTGTAAACTGAGGGCTTGGGCAGCCACCCAGGAGAGGTTTAAATGCTGCCCGGTTGATTAGCAAAGGTCTCACCATGCCCACAGTTGGTAGCATGTGTTTCTACTGTAGTGCACATCCACACATACCTTGGTGTCTGTAACAAAATTTATTCTGCACAAGGATGAAAAAATTAGAGAGAACACTGGTCCAGATGTGCACAGGGACTCTTGAGGCAGAAAGCCTTGGATGTTAATGATCACAAATTGACCATAATTTGCCATTTGAAAGACAGGCACTCCCATGGCACAGCAACCCCACCATCCTGGTGGAGGAAGAGTTAAGCACTGACTGAGTGGAGAAAGTGAAGCCCCTATAGCTCTTTCAGTGCTGTTGACAGAGATGGACGTGAGCGTGGGGGATTGGTGAGGTGTGGATGGATGGGCAGTAGTTCAGTAGCTGGTTAGGGTGTGGATTGGGAGACAGATGGGTCAGCGATGAAGGAGCCAGATGAACATGATGGGGGGCTGGTGAATGAAGGAAAGACTCACACAGAGACATATTTCAGACCCTGAAGGTTGTTTCAACCGAATTGCTGAAGCTTCAAACCCTGTGAAAAGGGAGAGGTAGGAGGAGATCCAGCTCTTCTCCAGATTAGCTAACCTGTGCTGCCAAATCCCCACAGCCCCCAGACATCCACAGGGTGCATGTGCTGTACCCTGCTCTTGCCAAAATGCAGAGTTAAAAGGTCTACGAAGAGTCATAGCCGGTACGCAGGGAACCGGGAACCACAGCAGCAGGCCTTTCCTGCAACCTCCCCCTGCCCCTGCCTGCCTGCCTTGCTTCTTAATTCCCCTTTTCACACTTGCCTATATCCTCTCCTCCAGTGTGACTAGATTCCTAGGTCTGTCACAGACAGGGAAGTATGAGCGGTGGGCCACACTGCTTTCTTTCAACACAGCAGGTGAGAGACTTCTTTCAATATAGTAGTGAGCGACTCAATCCAGACTAATCCTATTAGCATCCTAATATTGCCACACACCCCTGTCCCTGTGCCAGTGATGTGTGCTGACCCGAGGCAGCCGTGTCCCGGGCTATCACTGAAGCCCACACCTTCAAACATGCCAAAGCCAGTCCCAACAAGACAAGGGCTACCCCACAGCAAATCTCAGCTCCCAGAGGGCCCACCCACTGAGATTTCCGCCTGTTTCCTAACTTCTCCAACAGGTGCAAAAAAGCCGAGGGTCTTGCTCAGCCCCTATACAGTGAGCCAGCAGCTCCAACAACGAGTCAGAAGCCAGCACCTTGTGTTGTTGCTCCTTGGACTCTTGCAAACACCCGTTACATATGAAGTCCATCCTATCAGGAGGCTGGTGTCCTACCCTGGCAGGGGACAAGACTCAGTGACCCAGTAGGTCTTTTCCATCTCTAACTAGGCTGCTCAGCCCTGCAGTCACCCTGGTTTTGAACAGGCTGGCAGGCAGTGAACCCGCTGGCAGAAACCAAATGGGTGGAATACTGTCCTCCATAACAACAGACAGACCCTTTCTTCGTCCCTGAACCTCCTCCCTTACCATCTCCTGCCTTCCAGAGATAGCACTGGCAATTCAGTGTATCACTGGTGTTAGCGTGCCATGACCATGTACCAGTCTCTTGGAATTCACTGCCCTTCCCTATCCTTCCCCTCTCCCTTTGGGCCGTAGCAGCCTGAGCACACTGGGTGGCACGTGAATATTATTTGTACTTCACCACCACAGTCAAATCCTCGAGCGGCAGGCAGGGATCTGTGCATGCTCAACTACTTCAAGAAGTCAGCTGATGTGGCTGCTTAGCACAGAAGAGGGAAATCCTCCCTGACCCTATCCCACACAGACCTGAACATCTCCCTAGGTGAGACCTGTTAAGAGCCGATGTAAAGACGTGCCAGAGGAAGCCAGACCAGTTAAATATACACAGCAAGAGAGCACACCTGGATCAAGTCAGATGCCACCATGCTCACCATGAATGCAGGCTTCAGAGAGCTCCACCAAACAGCTTAGTTCAAAAGTACCTGGCTGCATTAGAACTGAATCCATGGTGCAACTCATTGGCTGGTTTCTGATCCCTGTCTCTTGTGTATTACAGGCTTTCTGTTCTTGCACATCTGCACTTAATTCTGCTTAGTAGGAGGCTGATCCAAAGCCCACTAAAACCAGTGGAAATTTTCATCCTTGCTTCAACAGTGTGGATCAGGTTGTAAGCAGTGTTCCCTGTAACCTGAGCTCTTGTACAGCCACCCAGGAGAGACTTAGAAGCCGGCCAACTGATTAGCAGAGCACCGACAGCTAGGTTTTTTTGTTTCTACTGGAGGTGTACATGTGCACGTCCCTCAATGCACATTAAATTATTCTGCACACTTGTGGAAAAGATTAGAGGGAACATTGGTCCTAAGGGATCTCCCTGTCCCATGGACCTGACAGAAGCCTGAAGAGAGAAAATGAGACTAACAGGAACACCAGGCTCCTGCCAGCACAAGGTGAGTTAAAAGCGCCAAGTCCAGGCTTCTCTCAATCTCCCCGTCTGCCTTCCAGCCCCCGTGGTGTCCCACTGAACAGAAGCAGCATCTCTAAGCCAACACTGATGAAATCGTGTTGGGGAAGGAGCGAACTGGAGGACCTGACAGATCTCTCCTTTTGTACCGACCTGTCCTACGCATGCCTTCAACTCCCACTGCTCCAGTGACTCCAGGTGGTTTGAAGAATGCAGTTTGAACAATCTCCGCAGAATCAGCCCCATTTTAAATAGTGTTTACATCTCTGCACTCATTCCTTCCCCTCTCCACTGCAGTAATAAATGTCACTGCCCTCTCCTTCCATCTCCATCTCATACTCCCATCTTCACAACTCCTTCCAGCTCTCGGATTGTCTCCCTTGCTGTTTAATCACCCAGCAACCCCATATCACCATCCTCTCTCACCAACTGCTGTGCTGGTGCAGGTCCATACAAAGAGGTTCTGATGCCTAGTCTACACTTGAAACTTGCCAGAATAGCTACATTGATCCAAGATATGATTCTTTTCCCCACTCCTTAAACAATGTAGCTATACTGCCAAAAGCTCTAGGGTAGTAAGCTATACAAGCAAAAAATGAGCTTTTGCCAGTATAGCTTATTTCATTCAGGGCACTGATATAAATGCCACTGGAAAAAGCACGCTTTGCCAGTATAACATCCATCTCCACTAGAAGGTAGTGGAGTATAACATCCATCTCATTCTAGTGTAGACAAGGCCTAATACAGAGCCTTCAGCTGAGTGCCCCAGTGCATATAGGTTTGGTTTACTATGTCCATTGTCTTAGATTGTGAAGTGCTCAGAAACAGAGCTATGTTCTTTGTGTCTTGTACAAATGATCACCAATATAAATCCATGCCAGAGAATATTTAACTGGAAAGGAAAAATGATATGGTGAGTAAAGCCCAGGAAAGGGACTTGGGAGATGTGGGTTCAATTTGCCATGAACCCCTTAGACTACCTTAGGCAAGTCATTTCATCTATCTGTGCCTCAGTTTCCCTTCTGTACACTGGAGATAACAATGCTCCCTTTCTCTGTCTGGTCTAGCTAAAGGACTGCCTCTTACAATGTGTTCATATTGGGCATGGCACAATGAGTCCCGGATCCTGTTGCAGCCTGTATATTGTGATACAATCAACAATTATAGCAGAGACTATTCAATAGAAACAAAGCACAGGTAAAGCTTAGAGTTGGTCAAAAATATCAATGATTATTAAAGATAACAAATAATAATTTTCCTATGAAGAGTCTTCACTTTCCAACCAAAACAAAACAGAGAATTTCAGCCGAAATGAAAACATTCCATAAAACAAGCTGGACAAAAAAGTTCTTCTATTAAGAAATGTTTCTACCCACTTTCACTGTGGTCCCAATATCTATAACACCTACGTACCGTTTGGTTTACACAATTCATTTTTTGCTCATTTCTAAGGGCCTTGTGCATGAGTTTGTTGACACCAGGGATGCAGGTCTTGGAAGTCTGTCTCGATCACCCTCACCAACTCTGTAACATGGGCCACATTCCATCGAAGTCTCTGTGGGTCACAGGTGCCTCCCCATGTATTCAGGCCATCAGCGTTTATTTTTAGCAAGTGAGCATTACCAACCGAACACTCCTGCCATTAGGGAGAGAGATGGGTTTGAATGGTGAGTCCTCAGCGTGTATTTCTTGCATCTCCCTTGGGGTTGGTGCATACATCCTTTGGTGGACTTGTTGGCATGTACATGGTCATGTGTTTGCTTGTGAAGAGGCAGAATGTTTTCACTGTGGCCCTGAACATTCAAGTTTGTGGGTGGACTTCAGTATCTTTGGAAGTTGGTTTCACTATGTCAGAGGGATTTCTTAATGCATTCTGTTATGCTTCGGAGCATGTCTCCAGGTATTTGGAAATGAATGGGCTTCGTTTTATGAATGAGTTTCACAACTATATACATGTACTTCACTAGTACATGAGCGTGTTTCTGTAAACCTATATGTTTCACTAACTTTGGATACCACTATGTTTGAAAAGCAAGTTTTACACTATTAGTGGGTTTCACAATATTTGGCATCTGTTTCACCTTATTTGGGCTTGCAGTTTTTCTTCTTTGTGTAACATTTGGTGGATACATTATTTCTTTGTGTTTCACTATACAGGGTACTTGTATATATGTCTCTTTATATTTGTGTTTCTCTCTATGTTTCTTTGCACTTCTGGTGAAGTGGTTGTGTGAGCATGTTTTACGGTACTTAGTATTTGTTCTGGATTCTGTCTTTTTTCTGTGTGTTGGTATATTTCACTGGGTGTGTGTTTTTCTCTAGCTATTTTCTTTTTCCCCTTTGCATGTTGTAAATGATTCTCTGGTTTTGTGCATGTGTATATATGTCTCCTTGCTTTGATTGTCTGGAGTTTTGGGTGAAGGAGGTGGGGAGGGAACTGTTTGTCATTTTGCTTTGTATTTATCTTTGGATGTTTTTCCTATGTTTGCATAAACTGGATGCAGACTACAATTTGGTGATGAATTCTATGAATACTAATCTTAGGCTACCCTTGACCCTGAGGTCAGGTAAAGATCAAAATCAAACCATTTAATATTTTCCTTTTGCAGATCAATAGAAGCATAAATTCACTCTCAATGACAACTATAATTCCAAACAGATCTATAGGAAGCATGCGTGCATTTCCAGGATGAGCCACTCATGCACCAGTTGGGGAGCATTAAAAAAAAAGAGTTTCTCAGCTTTTTCTTTTTTTACCACTGACTCTCTTTTGCCTTTTTTTTATTGCTCTGAAATGCTATTTTCAGCAGCTGCTGTCATATAAACTGGTGAAAAGGGCAGGGGACCTATTGAAAATTCTGCTTTATCTCTTTCAGGAGAGTTCAAGTGCGGGTCGAACAATCGATTCCTCCTCCTTTTCTTTTTTAAGTTTCCTGTCGTTCTTTTGCCCAGATCAGCATTGAAGGAAAATAGGAAGGGCAGCTTTGTGTATGTATAGCTAGCTATACACCCAGAGAACGCATGTGTCCGAGAGTGTATATATTTTTTTTTCCATGCGAATACATACCAAACAATGAAATATTTTTGTAGCTAAACTATCATAAAGGGAGAAAAAAGCTGGAAAAGTTTGGAAGTGGCATTTGGCTCTAACGTGGAATATTAACCCTTCCAACATTTTTCATCTAAGAATTGCACAGGCTTTCAAGAGAATGCTGTAAAATCTTAGTTCCTAATTTTGTGTGTGTGTGAGGGGGAGGGAAGGGTTATTTTGCAAGTAGCATTGTTTCACAAAGAAATTCAGCCAATCTGCTGGTAATCCACAAATATTTAAAACTGCATTTAGTCTAAAAAGGTATCTTCACACATTTTTATCAAACCCAAAAAGAAAAAAAACAGAAAAAATTTAAAAAGGCAATGAAACAATTAATCTGCCTGGATTTTCCACCTCACAGAACAATCTATTTAAGAATGCCTGAAATAAAGTGGAATGTGGTTTTGGACATCGCCCCCCTCCCTTTGCCCCCAAAAGCTCTCTCTGAAAACTCCATGTTTATGGAGAAACATTAAAAACAGGAGTAAGTCCCACCACCCCCTTAGCAAAAAAGGCACCCTAAATGGGGGCGGGGGGGGGCGAGGGGGTTGCTTTGTGTAGGAAATAAAGACCGTAAAGTGAGGACTTTTATTGCTGGCAATCAGAGTATTGCTGCTGGCAGTGGCTAAAGGTGGAAAGCAAAGATGATTTAATTTATAGAAAGGACAAAGATGTCATGTAGCAGATTTAATCATTGAAAAGAAAAAAATATTTAAAAACTTCAGCTAACATCATAATTTACATTTTGGGATAATAAAGAAGGGTGGAATAAAGAAATAACTGGAAAAAACTGAAAGGGTGAACAAAAATGAGGGAAGATAAATAGATTTGCCTGTAAAACTAATAAATTTAAAAACAAAACCAGAAAGCAAAACACAGCCCCTTGAAAGTGCTGGTAAAATGGACCATCGATTTTGGAATTCATCTGCATTTTGTATTTTAATAATGCTTACTCTCTCTCTCTCTCTCTCCCTCTCTCTCTTTTGCAAAATATAAAAGCTGATCTGATAAATATTAATTTGAACCATCATAATGTATTTGAAAATTCCAGCTAAAATGTCACCACATGGAACATTAATGTAATATTTCAAGGCCCTGAGAGCAATACTCATATTGATTGCATTTATTTCACTCTAGGGAGGAGAAATAATTCTTCAGTGTGGGACACATCTGGTAGCCAAAGATGCAAAAGGCTGAGGGTAGAAATGCAAAATTATATGGAAAATTTATAAATAAATAAATAAATAACCCAAACCCAAAACAAACCAAAAAGTCCAAGTGAAATTGACACACACAGCCCCTAGAATCAAATTTTGGTTGCTACAAATTTTTTTAAAATCTCACTTCTCTTTGCATTTTTAGCTTTTGGTAAATAAGAAAAACAGCTAAAAATACACCCAAATTTAACCAGGATTTTATTAATATTATGGCAGGAAAATCAGCAGCTTCATCTACACTATAAAGGAAGAATGTGTGATTGGATTTGCTTATTGGAAACACAAAAGCACGACTGAGAGGACAGCAAAGCAGAAAGCCTGCAAAACTTTGACAGAGGGGCTCTCTTTCGGGGAGCCTCCTGTGAGGCTCAGGATTCAAAATTTGACAGAGCGGAAGCCTGGACATGTGTGAAACAGGGGCTATTTTCCTGCAATTCTGCAGGAAAATAGGAGCACGGAGACACGCTGCCTGTCTGGAGTTCCATAAAACAGATCTTTTCCTTGTCATTAAGAATATTGATGTTCATTAGGCCCGGGCGTCAACGAGTCTTTGTGCAAATGAAACGAAATCTGAGTCAAATTGTGACCCTGAGTCCAACACATAACCGCAGACTTGCTGGGATCTGGCGATTCAGTTGCCCCCACCAGCACATTCACAGACAATCCCTTTCCTAAGACAAAAATCTACCTAAATATAGTAATTGGTCCTAAATGACAGTTCCAGGAATGACAAAAAATTGTGCTTGGTGGAGATAGGAATTATAATACAGGGGGAGCAGAATAGGGTGACTTTGGGGTGGTCTCTCAAGACAGATGCTTCCCTACTATCTTACTTCCCCACTAGCCCAGATTCTGGACTACCACCAGCTGTTAGGAGGTAAAGTTCTTTTTTTGATATAGGGCTTTGCTGGGTGCTTGAGGTTGATTTTCCTCCTGTACAAATAGCTGGCTAATAAATGAAGCTTGAGCCCCGTAATTCACTGCAAGCCGGTTTGATGGAGCCCTTTTAGTGTGACGGGTGCTTTTCGGCGCTAACGTCTCGTTGATATTAACAGTCGTGCACATGGAGTGAAATCTGCAATATATAAACCAACGGCTTGCTAAATATTTCTAGGATTGCACGTCTCACTGTCCCATTCATTTCCTTGACCTTTCATAGGGGTAATGGGGAGAAGGGGGAAGGAGAAGGAGGTGCTGGAGCATGGTACTTTCCAAAATGTGAACATGGTGCAGCCAAACTGGCTCCCCCAGACTTGGATGCTGAGGCTTGGAGCTAAGGACCTGTTCCTTTCACGCCTGCATTTCATAAAAATAAATAAAGAGAAACCAGCTCTGGCAGCGGGCAGGCTTGCTTGAGCATTGTCTGAATAGGGACTGGCAAACATCTCTCCATAAGAGCCTGCTCTGCCACGAACATGCACATCACTGGGTTCATCCCTTATTCTGGATCAACACAACAGCCAATTTGATCACTATATCCCAGCAGACTCCATGCACAGCTGTTTCTTAGGGAGGGTACCACGACCTAGCAATAAAAGAAAAGAATAAGCCAAGAAGATGCCTGGATTCTGTTCCTGGCTCTGCCACTGATTTGCTGTGTGATCTTGGGCAAATCATTTTCCCTGTGCCTCAGTTTTGCCCCACCTGTTAAACAAAACAAACGTGTAACAAACCCTCCTACACTAAACCATGATGAGGCTTAGTGCTTGGAAAGCACTTTGAGATCTTTAGCTACAAAACATGACAAAAAGAGGCAAGTATGGTAACTGAACCTTAGATAACTGGGCTTTGCAGAAGCCCGGTGTGTAGGAAGATACCACTCCTATACCTGCAGCATGATGGGGGGCAGCTGGTGTGGAATTCTGGGGCTCTACAAAGAATAGGGGTGGTGCTGGCACTTGGATAGAAGGTCACAGCTCCGATGTGGCACGATGACATTTGGTCTAATAACTGCACTGAGCTGATGGAGTCTGGCAAACGACAAATCCTTTCTTTGTGCTTGTCTCATTATTCAGCCCTTAAATGGTTAAACACCCTCTGTGTTCACTTAAACTGTCACTTTGCAGAGCTGCCAAAATATTTTGATGGCTTGTACCAGATCTCCTTGGCAGACTGTTCTTTCAGATGAATGAGAGACTTTGGACTGCCTAGCAATGAATAATGCATAACCAAGGCGCCCCCTACTGACTACCAGGATCCTTAGCAGAGTTACAAACCTCAAAGTTGCAACACAAAACCACAGAAGGTCTCATATTAGGTACTTCTGAACAAGTCCCCAAAGGATGTTTCTCTCTATATATCCATATCTTACTGCCTCCATTCAAGATGGAATTGGGGGGAGATCTTTCCATATGCCTGCAGATCTGCTTAGGTGACAAGGAATCAGTCACAGTTAAAGGAAGATGTTTATAGGTAAATGATGGTGAATTTCGATTTTACCATACACCCGCAAACTAAGAAAAGATATTTCCATCAATAGCAATCAAAATGTACAGACAGGCAAAGTAAGAAAAATGCCGCCTGAGAACTTATTAGAGTTTGATTTAAGGATATTGACTTTGCATATTTTGACGTGTAATGTTGACAATTTAAGTTGTAATGGTTATAAAATTTGAACTTTTTGAATCTCGGTGTATATGGTCATTAAATAATTATCATCAAAGGCCACCTCCCCCACTGTTTGAGCATTCCATAATTTCTTGAAACTGGGAAAATTTAAATTGATAAAAATCAGGAAAAAATGCTTAAAATCAACATAGATAAATGTCTGACAATTTTTTTAAAAATAACTGAATTTTTCCAAGCCTAGTTAAAGGACTTTGGACAAACTGCGCTTGCAGGCTATATATCACTGGTAGTAACTAGAAGCACTGAAGTGGGGCATTATAGAATGATGCATGTGTTAGGAAATGGTCAGACTTTAAAACGAAAGAACCACATACACCCTAAGGGACACCTATGGGCTCAGATCAGGTCTGAATATAGCCCAGGATTTTTGAAGCCCTAAGTTCCTTGGAGATTGGATTCCAACATGAAAGCTTTAGGAAATGTCCTTCTGGTTGAACCTGAAATAGAATCTGGGACGGGCTTAGCTCAGATCACCAAAGTCAACCCAGCAGGATTCTGGTTCTGGACCAGATGTCCCATTTTTAAAGGGACAATCCTGTATTTAAGCCTTCCTGCGGGTGTCCTGGCTTTTTTTTAAAAATGGGCCATCTGTCCTATATTTTCTGTCTCTCCCTTCCCATCAGTACTGGTGGGTCCTACTGCTGGCTGTATCCGTGCTGGCCAGCTGCCCACCCACCAGTGGTGGGCGGGGGAAGGGCCCAGTGGCTGATGATGCAGGTGGGAGTGCAAGGCTTGTGGTCGGGCAAAGCTGCAGCAGGCAGGGCTGGCTGCTCTCCCAGCCGGTCCATGAGTGCAGTCCCTCTTGGCCTACAGACTCTCACTCCACACCACCACCACCATTTCCAGCCAGCACTGGCTGCTTGCTGTGATGGCTGGTGAGCGTGGGCTGGCCATGACCAGTTACGTGTCACATTTGCTGCCCACCCGTCGGCCCCTTTACATGCTTCCCCTCTCGCTGTCCTCTCCCTGCTTTGCTTATTCAGCCCCCACTTTATGCTGCTCCTCAACATCCCTCCCGCTGGCAAGTTGTGTCCCAATCATGGCACTGTGTGGAGAACTAACCCCCGGTCGGCTCATTCAGCCCACCAACAAGCTGACTGGCAGGCTCCTTCCTTCCTGCACTGTCCCTGTCTGGGCTGGTGCCCAGGGAAAGCACAAGACTCTACTATGGCCAAGGACACTGACCAGCAGAAGGAGCCAAGCCCTGCATGTGTCAAAGCCCCGCACACCGCTGGCATGGGGAAGCTTCTTCCCCCCTCTCCTAAGCTTTGGAGTGGCAAGAAGGAAGCTATTTCCACCCTGTTTGTGCCCCAACCCTGCAGGCTCCGCAGCAGCCCCTCAGGGAAGAGCAGAGCACCCTCTTTGCACACTGCCCCTAGGTCCTGCCCCCAAGGCATGTGGGGCTGCACCCTTCCCTGCTGAGTCACCTCTCTGGCTGGGTTCGCTGAAGCCCCTGCAGACAGATTCTTTCAGCCACGGTGCACAATGCATCCTAAGGGCTTAACCCCTTCCTGCCCGCGCTGTAGCCAGGGTACAATAGGTGGCTGGGTTATGTCAGTGGCCAGCAGCAGTTTGGAGGTATTAGCAGCCTTTCAGCACTGTGCAGGCAGGAAGGGACAAGCTGCTTCCAGCCACAGGGGAGCGGGGTGGAGGATGCAAGGAAAGAGATTACTTTTCGAATACACAATCCAAATCATCCCTACCTGCACACCCCCACCCCTCTGCAGCTGGTAGCAGCTCCCATCCCTTCCCTCCCACACAGTGCTGAAAGGCTGCTGCTGGCCATGCTCTGGTATGAACCCAGACAGAAATCTGAGGAGGGTGGGTGTGACCCTGCATGCCCTCCATCTGTTGCCTTGAGAAGACGCCAGGTACCCGGAGAAGTGGGTACATCCCAGGAGCCCAGCCAGGCATGGAGGGTGGAAAGCACTGGGTGGGGAGGTTGGATCCGGTCAGCCAGTCACTCACATGTGTGTATGTGTGTGTCTCCAGCTACGTGGTATTTCTTTTTAATACAGGCTCAGTCAACTTATATTAATTTGAATGTTTGTACTGCATAGTTTTGATTGATCGCCACTGAACTTGCTTCAATACGAGTAATTTACCAGGTGTCCCATATTCAGCACAGAGAAATATGGTTACTTGAATCATGCCCCCATCCCCACAGGAGTCTCTCTGCCAGACTCAGCTCCTGGGGAGTGTCCTGAGTGGGAAAAATCAATTCCCCCACAGCCAGCCTAAGCCTGCTACCTTGCAAATTGTGTGTCCAGGGAAGTGAACTGTGCTGCTTCCTCTGTGGTGGTGGAGGTGTGAAAGAGAGAGAATAACCCCTTCCCACTCAACTTCTGTGCTCGATACACTCCATCACAAAACCCAAGTGCTTTTGGAAAATTTCTTTTAGGGGGTAATGCAGGCCTATATGCAGGGGGGTGGGAAGGGTGCAAAAGCACCCCCATGGTCCTCTCAAGTAAGCATGCTCTGGCTGGCCAGGGGAAGGCAGGAGCCTCCCTCCCCCATGCTCATACCAGCCAGGGGAAGGCTGGGGCTGATTTCCCCACTTACTTGGGGGAACATGGAGGTGCATTCACACCCTTGTGGTCCACATTTACAAAAAAAAGCACACATACCTTCCCCAGAAATTCCTGAGTTCAGGCCTGTAATGCCTCTGGGACGCAATGAATGAGTCCAGCCTGGATTGTCTGGATCCACCCCAGGCTGTGTAATGGTGGTTCTATGCATGCATAGTTCTGAGTGCCCTCTGATGGTAGCTCTAGTTCTCGTTCTACCGATCGTTGGTGATCCCTTGGAGTTCAAGGATGATTATCTTCCAAAAAATGATTGTCAATGATCGCTGGTGGATGCACAAGTGGGTAATGAGACTGATCTGTGCTACATAGTTCTTATCGTAATTAGGGCAGACACTTCCCAAGGGAAGGGGCAGATCTGGATTGGTAGGCTGGGCTACAGCATCTTCTTTACGCCTTTCTCATTTTTCCGATTCCTGTTATCTCCATTGGATCTCGAAATACTGGGATCCTTGCCACAAGATGCTTTTCCATTTTGGTGGGTCGAGGACTTGGGTTTCCCATGAGTTTATGTCAAGATAGCACTCCTTTGTGTTGGCTTTGAGGGTGTTTTCAAAGCCCCTTTTTTGCCCACCCCTTGTCCGTGGGCCATGGGTCAGTTGTGAGAACATGACCTGCTTCGGAAATCGATTTTCTGGCATTCAGAGAACACAACCTACTACAGAAGATGCTTTGGATCTTCACAGGAAGCAAGGTAGGTAGGTGCTCTAAAGGGTGAAAATAAAGCCGGCAGATTGCTCCATGCTGTGCTCAGTAGCTGGGAGTGTGACTCTTAGCACCAGTTCATCGAGTGGTGGGTTCATGTCATTCTTGATAGCTGAATCCAGGTGTTGGCGCATTAGTGTGAGGCTCTTATCCTTGTGTGGGGCTGGCAGTGTGAATCTTGGCATTAGCCTGAGGGCGGTGGAGCGCACTGCTGGGAGAGCTATGCACTGGAATCAGATTCCTCCTGCCCTCCCAGGCACAGACGCTGGACCCTTGCCACATTTCATAAAGTGATGAGCTGATCAACTCCAGATACCGTGTTTTAGGGTCAGAGCAAAGAAGGGGAGCCAGAAATCCCCTGACACACAGCTCAGGTAGAAATGCCAGTGTGATCCTGGGCTTTGACCCCTTTGCAGAGCTGGGCTACAGCCCAGATAAAGCGAGGGGATGCCTTGTGCCCTGGGAGGTTGCAGCCTTTATTCTCCATTCCATTTTCCCACAGGGCCAGAAAGGTACTCCTTGTGCCCTTCAGCTGGACACAAGGGGACAGGAACCCAGCCCCTGCCAGACTCCTGCTCATCCAGCTGTGTTGCCAGAGGGATGAGGAACAAGTCTCCCTTTTCCAGGCATTCAGCTTTCCCAGGTCTTCGGGATGGAGCATGATGCCTTCTGTGGGAGCCAGTGTGGAAAATTCACAAGCCAGTTCTGGCTCCAGCTCTTGGCAACCTGGGATCTCCCTTTACTTGAGGACTTGCATATTATGAAGCTGGCCCTGGTCCCTTCTGCTTGGGGTTACATCGGTGTCATCAGCAGCATGGCCGCAAGGGCAGTGCAGTGCTCCCAGAGCCCATGCAGAGGCAAGAACAGGCCTGAGATCTTGGGCCATGTTTTCAGGAGTCAGGCTCTACTCCCCCTCTGGTCTGTATCCCATTGCTCCCTGACCCTCTCTCATCTGTCTCTTACAAAGTTCCGATCCAAGTAACGGGGGCAGAGCCGAGGATGCAGCCAAAAGGCTTCCAAGGACTGTGCTCCAGTAGGAGCAGAGAGGGTGAACACCCTGGCCTTTCACCTTGGGGACTGGCATCCAATGACGGTTCGAGTCCCTGCTGGATAAGGTTTCTCCTTGATCTCTCCTCTTCAGGACATTAGTGCCCAAGTCTGACCCGACTGGCAGCCTCAGCTTAGAGAGCCAGGACTGGCAGGGCGGGTCAGGAAGGAGGCAGTGCAATGCAGCAGGGTGTCTCCAGGAGCTTGCATGACGTTTGCCAGCTGCGACAGGCTCATGCGTTATGAGATGCAGACTAATGTCCAGTGCTGTCAGCGGGAGGCTGCTCTTTCTCTCTAGGGATTGTGCATACCCCAGAAATGGGCCTTAAATGTGGACTCCAGGATTCAGACTCCTCCCAGGCCCAGAGCATTTCACCTGGAGATCATTTGGTGTTCCTTTTGCCATGCTATATTTGCCAGGGGCTTTTCCCAGGAACTTGGGGAGTTGCTTGTGGGGCTGAGAGAACAAACAACTGGGTCTTGGCAAGACATTTCTGCACATGAACAGTAGAATTCCACTAGTAGCCCAGCTCCAGTGAAATCTAGATACTATCCTTGACTCCTGGTGGCCAAGGGGGCCCACGAGACATGTAAGGACAGATGCAGAGGAACTGGGTTTTCTGCAGCATCTGAATGTGCAAAGCTGTGGCATTCCATCAAAGGAGGCAGAGGAACAGCGTGTGAGTACCCATCGTGAGCACCCTTCACACCTCTCAGACAAAGAAAAGGCCCAGTGGGCACAGCACAGTACCAGAGGGCAGTGAGTCAGCAGCACATAACAGCCCCAGTACCAGGCACCTGCCGCCAGCTTCTTGGAAGGACCGGCATTACTCGACAATGCTGCCTTTGGCATTGTGGTCTCCAACATATGAGCCGCAGCTGGGCAGCAGGCAGCTCACCTTTCAGCCCTTAAGCAAGGCAGCCTGGCTGCTTAAAGTCCTAGTCCAGCTAAGGCCCAATAGGCGTTCACTGCCTAGCATGGTCCTGGCAGCAGTGTCACCAAAAGATTCCAATACA